ATTACATGAACGTCGTAGACATGCGACCAGATGGGGAGGAGTCGGGAGGGAAGCACGAGGACGACCTATTCAGCGACGAAGACGTGGATGTTGATGACATTGACGACGAATCGAGGAGGCGGGCGCATGTCGGGGGCACGCGCATGGAAGACCAGGAGCGGCTGACGACGGAAGCAGTGGCGGCAGCTCGTCGACAGTGTGCGGATGCGATGGCGTTGTCTGCACGCGTGTGGGGGCGGCTTCCAGGCGGCCGGGGGGGGCCGCCAGCGGGCGGGTGGGCGCGAACAGACGGTCGCCAGGAGGTGACGGACGCGGCAGTAAAGAGGAGGGAAGCGGAGGCGAGGGCGTCGCAAGCCAAAGAGAGCGGAGACCCCCTCGCGAGCGATGAAGGCGAAGACGGGCGCATTCAGTCCGAAGCGGCGGGCACCGCGCGGGAGCTGAGAAAGTGGAGAGCGAGTCTCAGCGGGCCCGAGGAGGAGTGCCCGGTGAAGCTCAACGAAAAGCAGCGGGAAGTGGTCAGGAGAGTCGTCAGCAGGATGATAGAGGAGTGCGCGGAGGACGACGCGGGACGGGTTAGCGGAGAACCGTTGTTGTGGATGTTGCACGGGGGGCCAGGAACAGGTAAGAGCTACGTGGTGGACGCCTTGCGGACGCACGTGTTCGAGGGGATCATGAAATGGAGACACGGGCTGGATTTCCAAGTGGCGGCACTACAGGCCACGAGCGCGTCGGCGCTTGACGGGCACACGTTGCGTGCGGCTTTTGGGATGACGCCATTTGCGAGCGGGTCGGAGAGCACGAAGAAGCGCGGGTCGGACGGGTCGAAGAAGGTGGAGGCTGCCCGTCGGATACAACAGTGGCGGTGGTTAATCATCGATGAGATCAGCATGGTGAGTACGACCTTCCTTGCGGAGTTGGACGCGCATTTGCGGTCGGTCATGTCGGCGGCGCGGCAGGGGAAGGTAGACGCCGAAGGGGTGGACAGGCCATTTGGAGGGGTGAATGTGTTGTTCTGTTGGGATTTCTACCAGCTCGAGCCGCCGGGGGGGACGCCCTTGAACGCCATCCCGACGTCGTGGGTTCGCAAGGCAAGGCAGTGCGCACCAAGCGCGGGAGAGGACCATGGGCATTGCATATTCTGGGGCGAGGGTCGCGGGTCCGTAGCAGGAATGACCGAGCTAGTGGAGTGCATGCGGTTGGAAGGTCATGACGAGTGGTTCCTGAGTGTCCAGGGCGAGTTCCGGCGCGGGGACCTGAGCGAACGGACGCACCAGTTTCTGCACGGCCTACCGACGGACGTAGCCGGGTCGTGGGTGGGGTGTGGGCCCACGTGCGGGTCGGGCCACTGTGCGAAGAACGCAGAGGCCATTGCCAAAGACAACACGCAGGAGTGCGGGCGTTGTGCAGCAGAGCGCCGGAGACGGCAGTTGGTCGCAACGGGGCCCGATGACGAGAGGTTCTTATTGCCGGAGTTCGTAAGGGCGACCGCGATTTACCCGAACCAGGATGTAAAATGTAAAGTCGCACGTCAGCGCGCCGTGGACTGGGCCGCGAGCGAGGGGAAGCAAATTTCGTGGGTGTACGCGAGGGACGCGGCGCATCATGGATCCCTCCAAAAACGGCCATACACGTCTTCTGACAAGATCCGGTGGCTGGGATACCATGATAAAGCATGCGCAGATATGCCAGGGTGGCTGCCGCTGGCGGCGGGCATGCCCGTTGTTCTGACGGATCATTTGGATAGGGGAGAGAAACAACTGCTCCGCGGCTGCCACGCGACGATTCACTCATGGGTAGTCGACGAGGACGAGGGTGCCGTCGCGGACGCTGCAGAAGTCACGCTGCGAAGGATGCCGCGGCAGATCGTGTTCGACTTTCATGCGGACGCGTGGGCGCTGAAGAGCATGCCGGGGCCTGGGTTGTATCCGATTGCGCCGAGACAGTGAGTCTGGTTCTTGGACGCGTGCCGAAAGAAGCCCGTGTTGGGGGTTCGGCGGAAGCAGTTTCTGATATCGCCAGGCCTGGCAAGCACGGCGCACGCAGCGCAGGGCCGATCCCTGGACGCCGTCATCGCAGATTTGCAGGAGGGTCGAAATGTGAGTTGGATGTCGAGTTACGTGGCCATCACCCGCGTGAAGACCCGTAGAGGGTTGCTGATATATCCGTTTGAGTTGAAGCCGTATACGCAAGGAGAGATGGAAGGGGCGAAGTATCTGCTGGGCAAGTTGCGCGGGGAGGAGGTGCCGTGGGCGGACATAGAGGCAGAGTTGATGCCCCGTAAGACGCGCAGTAAATGTAGTACCTTGAAGGAGAAAGCGGATTTCACGCCCACAGAGTTCAAGGAAAAGGAGGGGCCGAGTTTCTGTCGAGATTGCACGGAAGAGTTGAAGGAGGCAGGCGAGAAGTGGTGTACCGAATGCAAGACGTGGGCCGCGATGGGCCCGAGGACGCCAGAGAACGAGGCTCGCGGGGGGCGAGTGTACGTAAGGACGAGCAAGCGCGAGAGATGCGCGGGACCTGCGAAGGCGCGGAAGCCACGGAAGGAGTCGGGAGCGTGGCAGGAGAAGGTGCAGGAGAAATTCAAGATTCGGTGCGCGAGGTGCATGAATTTTTTGAAGACGGAGGCGGAAGTGGCGGCGAACCAGTACGACTCCAAGGGCGCGGGGGGGAAGCTTTGCAGGACGCGCGCGCGCGACGCGAAGGGCGGGGACAACGAGTTGAATCGCAAGCGAAAAGCAGAGGCGGAAGCGAAACCGCTAACTTGCGCTGCGTGCGGGGAAGAGTTTTCGGACACGAAACATTTGAAGCAGGGACAAGTGGAAGATCATCGAAAGGCGAAAGGAGCCAAGGTGGTGCGCGGAGGCTGCAAGGAACTCGGGTTCACAGCGCGCAGTTGCCAGGCGTATCAGTGCAGCGGCGCGTGCAAGAGAAGACAACCGAAGTCGGCGTTCTCCGGGGGCCCTGCAGCGGGTGACAGGCTCTGTCGGGAATGCGCGGAGGCGCGAGAGGACGAGGTGCGGCGGGGCAATGCGGAGGCAGCGACTCGCGCGCGGACAGCCGGGGCGGACGCGAAGCCGCTGACGCGCGCGGCGTGCGGAGGAGCGTTCTCGGACACGAAACATTTGAAGCAGGGGCAAGTGGAAGATCATCGAAAGGCGAAAGGAACCAAAGTGGTGTGCAGAGGCTGCGAGAAACTCGGGTTCGCAGCGCGCAGTTGCGTGGGGTATCCGTGCAGCGGCGCGTGCAAGAGAAAACTGCCGAAGTCGGCGTTCCCTGACCCTCCCAATGTCGCGCGCGACGCAAAGAAGGGCACCCTGAAGTGCAAGGCATGCAAACGATGACCAATCGGGCGGGGAGAGAAAGATGGGGGGTGAGGCGGAGGATGGGAGGGAGAAGAATCGAGGAGGAGGAGGAGGCGAAGGAAGAGGTTGAGGAGGACGAGGATGAGGTGGGGGAGGAAGACGAGGAGGGAGACGAGGAGGATGTGGAGGAGGATGAGGGATGAGGTGGAGTATGGGATAGAGGCTTCTTGTATGTGTATCGGGATCTCGCGGCACGCCTCTCGGGGGCCTATGGCAGGCAGTTTGGAACCACTTGGGGGCCCAGGTGGAGGAAAAGGAGGAGGAGGAGAAGGGGGGCACGGAGAAACGGCTCTGGGTTATGGGTTATGGGTTAGAGGCGTCTTGTATGTGTATCGGGATCTCGCGGCACGCCTCTCGGGGGCCTATGGCAGGCAGTTTGGAACCACTTGGGGGCCCAGGTGGAGGAAAAGGAGGAGGAGGAGAAGGGGGACACGGAGAAACGGCTCTGGGTTATGGGTTATGGGTTAGAGGCGTCTTGTATGTGTATCGGGATCTCGCGGCACGCCTCTCGGGGGCCTATGGCAGGCAGTTTGGAACCACTTGGGGGCCCAGGTGGAGGAAAAGGAGGAGGAGGAGAAGGGGGACACGGAGAAACGGCTCTGGGTTATGGGTTATGGGTGAGAGGCTTCTTGTATGTGTATCGGGATCTCGCGGATCGCTTCTCGGGGGCCTCTGGAAGCGAGTTTTGGAGCCACTTGGGGGCCGTTTCGGAGCCTCGGTGCTTCTTGGGGGTTCCTTGGGGCGTCTGGGCGGCCTAGAGAGGGCCTCTGGGGGCCTCTTGAGGCACTCTTGGGGCCCCCTGGGGCTCCTGGGGGCAGAAAGCTAGAGTTTCAACATGTTTGGTCGCCCTCTTGGGCCCCTCTTGGTGCCGTCTTGGAGCCCTCTTGGGCCGTCTTGGGGACCTCTTGGGCCGTGTTGGGGCCGTCTTGGGCCGTCTGGAGGCCGTTTTGGGGGCCTCTTGGGCCATCTTGGGGCTGTCTTTGGGGCCTCTTTGGCCGTCTTGGAGCGTCGGGAAGCCGAAAAGGCGGAAAAGCAAAAAATATTGAAAAACACAATGGAAAATCAACAATTTTAGACTCTTGGGGCCCTCTTGGGAGGCTTGTTGGGGACCTCGGGGGCCGTCTTGGAGACCTCTTGGCCCGTCTTGGGGCCATCTTGGGCGTCTTGGAGCGGTCGTTTGGCGTCTCGGGGCCTTCGTGGGCCGTCTTGGAGGCCTCTTGGGGGCTTCTTGGCCCGTCTTGAGGCCCTCTTGGGCCCGGAAAAGCCCCGTGAACCGCTCGTCCCGGCCGTGCTGCGCTCGTCCCGGACCCCCCCCCCCCTCCAAATCGACCGGACCGGGCTCCCGGGGGAGGGGTTTGGGGAGGGGGAAGCATCTCACACGCCGATGATCCCCAAGGGGTCGGCGGATTCCAAAAAGGGCAAAACATGCTCAAACAATCGTCCCCAGACTATTCCTGGACTACGTTTTGAGGATTCTTGGGGCACTTTCTTTTATTTCTCGTCGAAAGCCCCCCTGCATATAGGGGACAAGGCCCGACTTGACGATAGCTGCGCCGCGCGAGGGGGCCCTCTGGGCCAAGACCTGCCAACGACGCGCCAGGCGCGCCCCCGCGGCCGGCCGCGCGCCGCGCCCGCGAGGCACGATCCGGGCCGCGGTGGGCAGCTACCACCGGGCCACGGAGAACTGGGCCCTGCGCGAGGAGGGCCCCGCGCGGGCCCCCCCCCCGCGGCGCCGGGCGCCCCCATAACCCGCGGCGCGGTGGCTGCCGGCTTAGGGGGGCCACGTGCGAGCCCTATACTCCAGATTTCGTAATAAAAGGGAGGGGGTCTGGACCCTCCAAGACAAGCCATTTCGGACCTCCCCCGTGGGAGAGCCCTCCAAAACATCGTCCCCAGACCCCCCATGGAGGCCCTCCAAGATAGCCTGGAAGAGACCCCCCCCCCGAAATGAGACCCCCCTCCCTTTATTACCCTCCCTTTATTACGAAATCTGGAGTACCCCTGCCCCCCACGAATTCTGAGGGTCTTGACCTAAGGAACCCTAAAAAAGGAACGAGGCCCCTTTTTTCCATAAGTGAAGCTTCGATTTCCGATCGAAGACATAAGGGAAACCTGAGGCAAGCTGCGAGACACTTGAGGAACGCGGAGCCCCTCCCCAACCAAAAGGGTTCCTTCTTCAGGGCCCCGACTCTAGCGGGGTACATGCGAGCCCTATACCCCTACCCCCCACGAATTCTGAGGGGGAGGAGGGTGGGGTTCACACTTCGTTCGGGAGCTCCCGAGCGAAGGGAGCCCCACCCTCCCCCTCAGAAATCGTAGGGGGTAGGGGTAGGGTGCGCACGTGGCCCCCTCTGCTCGCGCCGGGCTCCCGTCAGGAGGGAAGAGAGGCACACACACACGATGAGTCGTCGATGCCCCCGGAAATAGCGGAGAATCTTGGAGGTGGGGGGGGAGGCAAGATCCCAGAAAGTATCGGGAAAGATGGGGTATCCTATTATTTGTGTGTGTGTGTCTATTTATTTGTGTGTCCCAGGGCCCCTTCATCCCTGCGCGCTGGGCTGGGGGTCGTCGCCGAGGGGGGGGCCCAGCCCATCCCCTCCCCAGGCCCCCTCGCGTTGTGGAAACACAGATCGCGGCGGGAGGTCGTTGGCGCTATGTGCGGCCTCGGGGGGGCCCTTCCCGGGCTGAGCGGGAGCGTCAAGAAACGGCTCCAGGATGAAAAACCGGTCCCGGGGAGGGGGTCCAGACCTCTGGGGGTCGACGCTGTGAGCAAGTGATGACGTCGGGGGTCCATGCATGTCCCCTCGGGCCGACCCGGGTTTGGGAGCCACGCGGGGCCGATTCCCCGGGTGCATCGCGCTAGGTGGGATCCGCCACGATCCCCTCTGCCTGACCCTGGTTTGGGGCCCACGCGAGGCCGATTCCTCCGGATACATCGCGAATAGGGGTGTTCGCCACTCCCCTCTAGCTGACACGGGTGTCGGAGGCGTGTAATTATTCCCCCGGTAGTCGCGAAGCTTCCCTCAGATCCGGGCGCACCGGGCGTTTTCGCCAGGGTTCGGGCCCCAGAATTACGCAGACAAGACGGGGTCCAGGATCCAGAGGTCCAGTCGTGATTGTTCTCGATGTTGCAGGTTTGTTCGCCATGTCTGGGAGGGCGCCGCGCACCCCCAGCGCCCTCCCAGACCTAGTAGGCCTCTAAATCAGATTCAGCGCGAGAGAGAGAGAGAGAGAGAAAGAGAGCAAAGATACGCAGGAGGCGCCGGATACGCCAGCGGGGGGATACGCACGATCCGCTGGGGACCTCAACATGATTCGCTCGATGCCCGACTTCTGCGTGCCAAAGCCCGCGCCGTGGCACGAGGCACAGACGTCAGAAAGGCGACCTTGAGACAATCAAGATGTCATACTGGGCTAGTTTGCACTTCGGCTTGCGTGGGTTCTCCGTAGCATTGGTTGCAGGATGTTCGCAGTTCTCCCTTGGCCAGTCCACCAAATCGCGGCGGTGGTTGTTCCCTTGGGCATGTGCTGAGCACGCCCCCTGTGGGCGACGGTGTGCACGGACACATGCATTACACTCCTCGTTGGAGCACACAGCGCGTGTTTGTTTAGTCAGATGCCTCCTTTCATTGCGCTGCCTTCTTGAAACGCACAACTCCTCACCGGGGCGCTCACCTGCAGTGCCCTCGACAGCACTCGCTTGCAGGGCCTGTCTCTGTCTGCCAACCATCATGATTGCACAGTTGATTCTGGGGTCGGCGGCAGGAGAGGGGGGGAAGTGAGAAAGAGCAGGCCTTCTCAGACGGTTCGGAAGTCCCCCGGCCTTCAGAGAAGTTTTCTACCAGTCTCACCCGAAGGAGAAAACCTTCTCAGAAGGCGCGAGGGCTGCTGAAAAGTCCCGCCGCCTTCTGAGAAGGCCCTCTCCTTCTCACTCCCGCCCCCTCGCTCGCCGCCGAGCCGTCGTGATTACACGGTCGATTCTGGTTGCCATCGGCGCATTGGGAATCGGCCCGGCCCGAGCTGCGAGCGCAGTGGCGTAAGTCGGGCCGGGCGAAAGGGGGGGATTGGGAAAGGGGGGGTTACGAAATCTGCTGCATGCAGCTGGTTTCGGCCCCACCGAGGGGCCCATTCCTCGATGCATAGCCGCCTCCGGCGCCGGGAAAATCAGCTACGTGAGCTGATTCTCAGACCCCCCCTTTGCTATCCCCCCCTTTCGCCCGACCCGAGTAAGGCACTGGAGTGACCAGCACTTGTTGCAGCGAGGGGCCTCCACCGGCGCGATTCCGCTCTGGACTCGCATGCCTCGCGGCCGTCTCGGGGCGCGCAGCGCAGGTGCCGTTGCGCGTTCGTCACGACAGGGGCCCAGGGGCACAGGCAGGTGGACACGGATCCCCAGGTTCCCCATACCTTCTCGCATGTTCGGGGTTTTCGTCTTCCCCCCTTTTCCCGTATTGTGTCTGTGTGTTTTTCCTCTCCTGTTTGTGTGTTTTTTCCTCTCCTGAGTCATGTGCTCCCTCTCCTTCTCGTTCTCTTGCCAGCGGGGCGGGTGAGGCTTGGGCGGTGGCACCTGCGGCGTCGGGGGCGGGGCCTTGGGGCCTGGTTCGATGGAGAGGGCTGGGTTGGCCCGGGGGCCCGTGCACCGGGGGGGCTGGGGTATGCGGGGGCCCGCTGCCAGGGGCGCAGCAGCGGCGCTGGCTCCGACATGCATGGGCGCATTGCTCGTAGAAGAAGCGGGGCAATGTTGGCGGCGGGCCCGTGTCGTCGCACGCCTTAGTTCTAGGCCTCCTAGATGGGGTCCAAGTAGACGGGGGCGGATCATTGCGCCGCATCGCCGATGCACCGCCGATGCGGCTCGATGTGAAGCCTGATTTGCTTCACGTCGATGTCGCCGACGTCGACGATGCATCGCTGGTGCATCGCTGTCGCGCTGATGCATCGCCGATGCACCGCCGGTGCATCGCCGATGTATTGGCGATGCGGGCTCCTCTACTCCGATCCTAGGAGGCCTGTATCAATCGAGAACGGTAGCTCCCATCCGCGTCTGCGGGGGCTTCCTGGTCAGAGTTCGAGCATGTGGCGCCGGGCTGCTCCGTCTGCTTCGTCTGCATGGGCCATCTGGCGGCGCCAGAATCTCGGCTGAGGACGCTGAGGACTCCAGCATGACGCGATCAGAAAAATACGCGTGTGTGTGTTGTGTGTTGTGTGTTGTGTGTTGTGTGTGTTGTGTGTGTTGTGTGTGTGTTGTGTGAGCGTGTGTGCGTGTGCGTGTGCGTGTGCGTGTGTGCGTGTGCGTGTGTGCGTGTGCGTGTGCGTGTGCGTGTGCGTGTGCGTGTGCGTGTGCGTGTGCGTGTGCGAGTGCGTGTGCGTGTGCGTGTGCGTGTGCGTGTGCGTGTGCGTGTGCGTGTGCGTGTGCGTGTGCGTGTGCGTGTGCGTGTGCGTGTGCGTGTGCGTGTGCGTGTGCGTGTGCGTGTGCGTGTGCGTGTGCGTGTGCGTGTGCGTGCGCGTGCGTGCGCGTGCGCGCGTGCGCGTGCGCGTGCGCGTGCGCGTGCGCGTGCGCGTGCGCGTGCGTGCGCGTGCGCGTGCGCGTGCGTGCGCGTGCGCTGCGCGTGCGCGTGCGCGTGCGCGTGCGCGTGCGCGTGCGCGTGCGCGTGCGCGTGCGCGTGCGCGTGCGCGTGCGCGTGTGCGCGCGCGTGTGCGCGTGTGCGTGTGCGTGTGCGTGTGCGTGCGTGTGCGTGTGCGTGTCGTGCGTGCGCGCGGGCGGGCGGGCGGGCGGGCGGGCGGGCGGGCGGGCGGGCGGGCGCGTGCGTGCGTGCGTGCGTGCGTGCGTGCGTGCGTGTGTGTGTGTGTGTGTGTGTGTGTGTGTGTGTGTGTGTTTGGGGGGGCCAACCGTGTGCACAAGGTGTCTCCGAGCGGAGAGGCGGTGAAGACGCAGACGGACGGAAGGCGTGCAGAAGAGCCTGGCACAGGTCGCACGCACCTTCGAGCGCGCCCGGGGGCATGCCGCCGGGTGCGGGGGCGATGCTGCAGCGTGCGCGCCGGCCCAGGGGGGTCTCCGCGCCGGGCAGCGGCCGGCAGGCAGGACGGCGAGAGCAGCCCGCGCCTGCGACTGCGCGCCTGCCCTCCCGAGGACCTGTTCCAGGAGATGGCAGTGGTGCGCACTTACCAGAACTCCGTCGGGCCCCGGCGGGTGCTCACAACGTCTTGCCCGTGTCGCGCCCGTGTTGCCGGGCAGGCTTCGGTGTGTGTGTGTGTGCGTCCATGTTTGTGTCGGTTTGGAGGACATCGCGGGGAGCATGATCAGAATGCGGTCAGGAACCTTGGCTCAGCGCGTCGCTCCGCCGGTTCTGGCCCACCACGCCTCGGCGCGACACACTAAACACAGTCGGGGCCCTGAAGAAGGAACCCTTTTCGTTGGAGAGGGGCTCGGCGTTCCTGGATTGTTCTGCAGTCTGCCTTCAGTTTTCCTGAGGGTTTCCATGGGAAATCGAAGTTCAACGTATGGGAGAAAGGGGCCCCGTTCCTTCTTTAGGGCTCCTTAGGTCAACGCCCCGACTGTATCCACTTTCCCGCCCCAGGTGTGAATGGCTTAGAGCTTCGATGGGAAATCGAAGTTAAACTCATGGGAAAACGAGGCCTCGTTCCTTCTTTAGGCTTCCTTAGGTCAACGCCCCTTCTGTGAGTATCCACTTCCCGGTCCCGGGTGTGCATGGCAGGAGTGGTCACCACCCACCAGAAACCACCCCGACCCAACCCGAAGGCCTCAATGTGCCCTGCAGTTCCAGTTGGGGGGGGGGTCGGGGAACATCGAGAAAACACATATGGAACCCGTACCCCCCCCCCAACCCGAAATTCGGGCCTTCGGGTTGGGTTGGAGGAGGAGGAGGAGGAGGAGGAGGAGGAGGAGGAGGAAGAGGAGGAGGAGGAGGAGGAGAAAGAGGAGGAGGAGGAGGAGGAGGGGGTGGTCTGGTAGGTAGTCCAGTGGTTCCCGGCCTCCCGCCATCCGCGGAGCGGCGAGCGGCGCGCCATCCGCGCGCACGGCCTGGCGTGTCGCCGGGGGCCGCCGCCGTGGCACGCGGAGCGCAAAAGTTGTTCCGGCCGCAGGAGGGGGGGGCGTGCGCAACCTTCGGGTCGGGCGAAAGGGGGGGATTGGGAAAGGGGGGGGTACGAAATCTGCTGCATGCAGCTGGTTTCGGCCTCACCGAGGGGCCCATTCCTCGATACATGGCCGCCTCCGGCGCCGGGAGGCGCCAGGAAAATCAGCTACGTGAGCTGATTCTCAACCCCCCCCTTTGCTATCCCCCCCTTGCGCCCGACCCGAAATCTGGACGCCCGAAATGGGTACCGAAAGAATGGGTACTATGCCCAACAGCAGCTCTTGTTCATTCTGAACAGGGCTCGCTGTCCGCGCCGCCGCGGCCCGTGTCCATTCGAGACAGGAGGCCGCCCGCCCAACAGCGGCCGCTGCTGGTTTGGGACAACATTTGCTGTTGGGCATGGTACCCATTTTTTCCGTACCCATGTCGGGCGTCCAAGCGCAAGGCGGGCGCGTGTCCGTGAAATATCGCACAGTGCTGGCCTCGTCGAGCGCTGCAGCTTAATTAGCAGCCTCTATCTGCATACCTTGAGGTCAGTAAGCTCGGTGCTTATCGGGGGCGGCAAAGAGGGGGTGATGACTAGGGGGGGGGTGGATCTCACGGCGCGGGCCATGATTTTTCCCCAGATCTCATGGCGCCTCTTCTTACTTCATGACGTCCCTGGCCCCCCCGCTGGGCCGCGCACGTGCCGCCGGTCATGATTTGCACCCCCCCCCCTTTTTGGACACCCCCCTCTTGGCCGCTCCCGCGCTTAACGGGAGGAGCCTCAATTTCTGTGGGAAGGTGGGTCTGGCCTCGTCGAGCGCTGCAGCTTAGCAGCCTCTGTCTGAATACCTTGATGTCAGTAAGCTTGGCCATTCAAGTATCATGCCACGTGGGTCATGCGGGACGGTTACATGGCTGCTGTTGGTCACGACCTGTTCTACGCAGAAGACGAGGAGTTGTACATCCATCCCTAAGTCGCGCGTGAGTCCTCATGATATCCACCGTGACTTGTAGAACTCACAGTCTGATTGTCACCCGGCCCCAGGGATCATACTATTTGAGCAGTGGTCCGACGAACTGACAGCGCTGGAAGGTCAATGACCGGAGATTTCTGCACGCCCCAGCTAGCCAGATGCAACATACAACGAAATCATTGCCGTACACATTGTGAGGGCCGTTGCTGTTGTTAGTCCAGGCTGCAGTGCGTCATCATTGGGTGCCCAGGCCATGGATCACGTCAGGCTTGATCGCGCTGGCCTTCAGCGTTCTGGTCGTTGTGGGCATCAAGGCGTTCCCGTCTCTCAGTTATGCCTCTCCGTTCGCCGCATCATGTGTGGAACCGCCCTCTCCTCTCCTTCTCGGGCATCCTGTCGCGCTCCCCGTCATGACCTGAACGTTTGGTCTGTGAGCTCACTGGGCACGTCCGCGGCGTTCGCTTCCTGCCATGCTCGCAGATCCCACCTTCTTTTCGTGGATCAAAAAGGCCTGGCTTCCCGCTATCATTTCTCGTCGGCTCCAGTCCATGACGGCTTATGGGTGAGGATGGGAGGAGGACAACTAAGACATAGCATAGATGCGTCTGGCATGCACCAGTGTTTGAGTTCAGAGGTCGAGGTTCTCAAATGCGTTCCTGCTCTTCCTCCCAGGGTTATGCTTGACCTCTCTTTGCATTCGACTCTTCGGTGTGTGGTGGTAGAGCGGCACTGGGATCCAGACTGCATGCCGTAGAAGACGCGTCCCCTTCTGATGCAAGGGTCAAGGTCTATCGCGAGCCAGCCACCAGCAATTGATGCACGGGAGGCATCACACTGCCCGTACATATTCAGTGATGTATTTGTCGCGTGGTTTTACATTGTTTTCGGCGAGTGACCATGAACATACATTATGTTGTGTGCTAATCGAAGTAGCAGTGGTACGGGCGTCGATTGCAGCACAAGCGGCATTGTGGGAAGACACTTGAAGGGATCTGGTGGACGCCATGCAAGATCCTCGGGAAGAAGTGGACGCGCTTCTCTTCAGCATCGTCGCCACGCAGCGAGCATGCCGCGACGTTGCGTCCATGTGTCCATGTGTCGTCTGCTCGGTTGTTGCGGCCCTGCACTGGATATTGTCCAAAGCCATGTGTGTAGTCGGTGCTCTGGGCTTCGTGATCCTGGTTGCGCCCATGCCCATAAGGACAGCGCGCCTGGGCCCCGGAAACGGCAGGGCCGTTTTTTCACCGTTTCCAAAGAAAATGTCCCTTGAAATGAAAGCGGCAAAAAAACGGCGACCGGAAACGGCACCAAAAACGGCTCCAGGATTGGAACCGGAGCCGGAACCGGTCACAAAAACGGCGACGGAAGCGGTAAGAAAAACAACGGCGTCGGAGCCGGCGACAAAAACGGCAGAAGGGAACCGGTAACAAAAACGGCCCTGTCGTTTCCAGGGCCACCACTGAGGGCGTGCAGCGTCTGGAGTCAGCGCCGAGCCTCGGCGCCGCACCGTTGCTTTTTTGAGCGTGGGCCCCGCGGCCGGCCCCTCGACAGGGCTCCAGCAGGCACTGCACATCGGCGTGCTGCGGGGGGGGGGCCCCACGGGGGCCGTCGTATTCGGCGCCGGGGGCAGAGTCCGAGGCGCTGACCTAAGGAGCCCCAAATAAGAAACGAGGCCCCTTTTTCCATGGGTGAAACCTCGATTTCCCGCCGAAGACATACGGAAAACCTGAGGCAAGCCGAGAAACACTGAAAGGAACACGGAGCCCCTCCCCAACCAAAAGGGTTCCTTCGTCAGGGCCCCGACTCTAGCGGGGTACATGCGAGCCCTATACCCCTACCCCCCACGAATTCTGAGGGGGAGGAGGGTGGGGTTCACACTTCGTTCGGGAGCTCCCGAGCGAAGGGAGCCCCACCCTCCCCCTCAGAAATCGTAGGGGGTAGGGGTAGGGTGCGCACGTGGCCCCCTCTGCTCGCGCCGGGCTCCCTTCAGGAACACGGAGCCCCTCCCCAACGAAAAGGGTTCCTTCTGCAGGGCCCCCGGCTGTAGAGTCCGAGGCGCACGCGTCCGCCGAGCGTCGAGTTTTTTGTTGTTCGAGTGCTGGGGGGGCGCGCCGGCAGAGCGGCGGGGAGGCCTCCTCTCACCGCCTCCTGCCCCACGCAGCGCTCCCTCCTCGTCCCTCCTCCTCCGACTTCCTCCTCCCCCCTGCCTCCTCAGTGTACGTGCACCTCTGAGCGTCCCCTCCCCTCCTTGGCCGTTTGAGGTTTGGAGCGGCCGAGGTGCACTAGGTCTCTCCCAACACACTGCATATGCCCTGGCAGTGTGGGGTTTTTATGTTTTGATTCATTCGCTTCGCGATAGATCTGAATCTCTGAATCTCCCCCCTGCCTCCTCGTTCTCGATTGCTGCTGCCTTCCTCCTTCTGCCTCCTCCGCCGCCTTCCTCGATCGTCTTGCCTCCTCTTGGGGAGCGCGTGTTCCCGCAGGAGGGGAGGGGGCGTCCTCTTCGCTTCCTCCCCACTCTCTCCATCCTCACCCCCCTCGCCGTCCTCCGCACGTCGTCTCAGTCCTCATCCTCTCCGTTCCCCGTCTCCTCATCCTCTTTCCCCTCCGCTTTCTCCTCCTTTTGAATGCACGGGGGATGATTACATGGAAACTGACAGAGGGATCCGCATTCCTCCGACACCGCAGGCCAAAGCTTGGGACGGGTTTGGAGGACAAAGGGAACGACGAACGGAGGATGATGATGAGGAGGAGGAGGATGAGGAGGGGGTCAGCATTTGAGTTGCATGGCATCGCTCCCCAATTAAATTTTGCCTCAGGGTGTCCTGCGTGTTCGTGAAAAACTGGTGGGTCAAGGGTAACCTCTTGCCGCTTCGCGTATCCCCACCGGCCCCTGGACGCCGCCCGACCTATCTTCGCCGCGGTCGCGATCCAAAAAGTATCCCCACCAGCCCATCCAGACACGGTCGGAGCCTTTCTTGAGGCCTCTTGGAGGCAACCTTGAGCCATGTTCGGCTAGAGGCTGTCGGAGGCTATCCTGGACCATGCTCAGATATCTTCGGCCACCTTGAGTCTATCTTCAGGCCTCTTGGAGGTCTGTCAGAGGCCACATTGGGCCATGCTCGACCTCCTGGGACTATCTTGGGGGTGGGAGGAGAACGAGGAGAAAGAGGAGGAGGAACAATAGAGAAGAAGGAGGAGGTGGAAGAAGAGGAGGAGGATGAGGATGAGGAGGAGGAGGAGGAGGAGGAGGAAAGCGGCACGAGTAAGATCAGGAGGATGAGGAGGAGGGGGAGGCGGAGGAGGAGGAGGAGGAGGAGGAGGAGGAGGAGGAGGAGGAGGAGGAGGAGGAGGAGGAGGAGGAGAGAGGAGGCGGGAAGGAGGAGGGAAGGAACGGACGATGACAAGGAGGATGAGAAGTCGGGATGTCGAGTTATGTTGTTGGGAGAGGTTCTTGAAGGAGGATCAAGGCCGTCTTAGGGGTTCCCGTGGGGCACTCTTGGGGCCCCCTTGGAGATAATTTTGAAAGTCGTGGGGTTCTCTTGGGGCTTATTGAGGGGGGGTCTGGGAGGTCCCGTGGGCCCCATGGCTCAAAAAGAGAAGAGGGGACCCCAAAATGGTGTCGTGGGGCCCTACTGGGCCGCTCTTGGAACGCCCTTGGGCGCTCTTTGAGCCCTCTTGGGCCCCTTTTGGGGCTCTCTTGGGCTGCCTTGGGGCTTTCTTGAGGCCTTAAGAGCCCATCGGAAGCGAAACAGCGAGACGGCACACAACATGTAATTTCCATTGGTGTGCAGAGGAGCTTGGTCTTTTGGAGGGTGCCCAGGAAGTCTCGAGGGGCTCTTGGAACCGTCCTGGGACTGTCTTGAGGCCTCTTGGAGGTATGTACGGGGCTATCTTGAACCATCTTCGGCGATCTTGAGCCATCTTGGAGGCCGTCTTGGGCTGCTTTCTCGGGTTCCCTGGTCAAGTTCATCTTGTGGGTTCCTCGTGGCAGTCCTCCAGCGTTCCTCGAGGGTTCCTCGAATGTCCTCGGGTTCCCCAAGCAGCGCCCAACAACGCCAAGCAATGACAAGCACTGCAGAGCAAGGCCACGCAGCGCCATGCAGAGCACTGCAATGCCAAGCAGCGCCAGGCAACGAGTTCAATTAATGCGATGCAAAACAATGCCAAGCAATCCTAACTAATGATGTCAAGCAACTGTTCAAAGCTATGTCAAGCAACGCCAAGCAGTGCAAGGTACTGCAAAACACTGCGAAACGATGCCGAGCAACTCCATGTAGAGCAGCGCAAGTCAATGTCCAACAATGCCAAGAAGTATGTAGAATCCTGCAGTTGCGGATAAGAGAGAGGGGGCGGCGGGAACGTTGGCAGGTTGCGAGGCTCTGAAGAAGCCCGCCGCAGGCGCCAAATTTTTTACAAATTATAGAACGAGCTCGCCGCAGGCGCCGTTTTTTCATTGAAGCAATGTGGGTGGGTCGCGGAATATGTCGCGGGTGGGTCGCAGGTGGGTCGCAGGTGGGTCTCGGTTGTGTCGCGGGCCGGGTCGCGGGTGGGTCGCGGGTGGGTCGCGGGTGGGTCGCGGGTGGGTCGCGGGTGAGTCGCGGGCGGGTCGCATGTGGCTCGCGGGTGGGTCGCGGGCGGGACGCGGGCGGGTCGCTGGTGGGTCGCGGGTGGGTCGCGAGTGGGTCGCGGGCTGGGTCACGGGAGGGGCGACGACAACAACATTAACAACAACAATAACAACAACACATATTATCACAACAACAACAACAACAATTCGCACCGCAGAGCCTCACTTCAGCCACACGCCCAGGGACATTGAATGACTGTCCCGCACCCTTGTTCTGACCTGGCAACGAACCCAAGCAATGCAGCATTGCCAAGGAACGATTTCTGGCGACGATTCCTTACAAGGCGTGACAAGGCCAAACAATGCTAAGCAACGCTGGGCAATTCAAAGCAATGCCAAGCAATCCAAAACAACGATTCCACGCAATGCCAATACATGACAAGCAACACCAAGCAATGCCAAGCAACGCTTCCAAGCAATGTGAAATAATGCCCTGCAATGCCAAGCAATGCGTTTCATGGTATTGTAGCGCTGTGCTTGGCTCACACCTGTTTAAAATTCCTCTGAAGAACAGCAGGTCCCTAATTTGGGGTCGCGCTGGGGTCACGTTTGCTTGCGGTCTTCCCGCGGCGCTGGTTGCGCCAAGCGAACACCCTGGGAGGGTCCAGGCTTCTCGCTCGCCCGCAGCCGCACGACAGCTTCACAGCGGTAGCTGCGACGCCAGATCTCCAAATTGGAAGGCCAGTGCCATGAGATTCGGTTCTAGGTTTCTGTATAGCTTGCCTGTCAAGGCGTTCATCAAGTCCATGAAGGAGTGGGAGCAGCGGAAGGAGATCGAGGAGATGAACGCCATGGGCACCGAAGATGCCTTGTTCTTGATGTCGACACCAGGCTGGTTGTTCTGACGGGGGCCCACCCTGCATTTCTCGTTTTCTCATGGGAGGCTAGATGTTGGTGGGTCGGACCTTAACTCACGTCGAGCTGCTGATCTTATGAGTGTACTCTGTAGCTGTAGCCAGACCAGGGTCACCCAAGACACTTTTGCACAATGATCAGCCGATGGTGGACGCTACGGCCGCATTGTGCACAGGCGTGGGTGGCTCTGTGCTCTCTGCTGTAATTGTAGTTCGTCTTTCATGCGTTCTCAACACCTGCGGGTTGCATGAGTGTGTGAGTGTCAGTGTGAGAGTGTGAAAAAGAGAGGGAGAGAGAAAGAGAGAGAGAGAGAGAAAGATAAAGAAACAACTAGCCAGCGAGAGAGAGAGAGAGAGAGAAAGAAAAAAGAAAGAAAGAAAGAGAGATAGAGAGCACAAATCAAGAGTGCGTGTGTATGCGCATGCACGCGCGAGTTCTCAAAGCCCGCTGACAGTACCGCCCACTGTCTCCAATAGTACCGTGGGTCGACCACCTCCGCAACGCCGAATGCTGAACGCAAGTGTGTCTTGCCACGGACCTTGGATGATGTGCCGGGTGGTGGCTCCTCCGCAGCAGCCCGCTGCTGGTCTGTGGCACATGCCCGCCGGCACCGCCGCAGTGCGGCCTTGCACTCCGCTCCCCAGCGCGCACTCTGCGCCTGCAGTCCGGTCTGCAGCCTCCGCCGGCGGCCGTGCGCGGCTCCGCCCGCCGCCGCCTGCCCTGCGGTGCTCCGCCCGCCTCCGCCCGGCGGCGCACAGAGCCGAGCTGCTGCGCTACCACCTCGCACGCGACCCCCAGCGATGCATTCCTCCATTATCAGGAGGGAAAAAACACAGACACACGTAATCGTCGGTTCCTCAGAAAATATGGGAAAATATGGGAAGTGGGGGGGAAGACAAAAACCCAGAAAATATGGAACATGTGGGGAATCCTGAAATTTGTGCGTATTTATTTGTGTGTCCCAGGGCCTCTTCAATTATTCATTCCGCGTTGGCGCAGCTGCGACCAGCCGGCACTGAGGAGGCCTCGCGGCGCTGCTTGACATAGCTGTTTCTGTACTCAGATGCCCGGCTGCGCCCGATTTGGAAAAAGCAGCACGCGCCGTGTGCCAAGCGTCCGTGCGAACACTCTGCGTGTTGGCTCAGCGTGTTCGCCCACGGCTGGGCGAACGCATCGCGCCACACGCACGTCCCCAGCCTGCGTGATGAGCTCCATGCCGACGCGCTGCGTGCCGAGTGTTGCGCATCGGGGCAGGTGAGCCTCGGCTCGAAGAAGGACAACGCCATAAACATCAACTTCTGGCGATCCGCGCAACTCTCTTGGATCCGCGCTGGGCCCCCCCCTCGGCGGCCGCCCCTGGCGCGCTCCGCGCGCCAGAGAGGGGGGTCCAGCGCAGATCCAAGAAATCCGCGCGGAGCGCCAAAAGTTTATACGTTTATGGCGTTTGGTTTCCTTTCTCTCTGGGCTTTGCCCCCTCCTGGCCTTGACGTGAGGCCCCTCCTTCTGCCTTCCCCCCTCTGCAATTAAAGCTGTGCGCGGCCCGCTTAGCTTCGACAGGAAGAGGCTCGCTCTCGACCCGCGGACCAAACAAATTGTTGTCCTTTATCTTTTTGATGAGCTCCGCCCGTGTCAGCACGCCACGTGTTGTGTGCTGCGCATCGGGGCAGCCGAACTTCTAGGGGGCGGAAGCCGCCCCGACCCTTAGAAGAGCTGGCGCTTCGTAAACGGCCCTGGGCGTTTTTACTGCACAGCCCCGCCCTCTTCGATTCGTTCCGTGGTTGCGTCTGCTGCATGGCTTCGTTTGCCGGGGTGCTCACTATCGGGGGGGATTTTTCTGCTTTCTAGAGTTCCTGCCACGTCGTTGAGGTCCTCTGGGCCTGCGAGAAACACACTCGCGCCGATTCATTCCGTGGTTGCGTCTGCTGAATGGCTTCGTTTGCAGGGGTGCTCACTATCGGGGGGGGGATTTGTTCTGCTTCCTAGAGTTTCTGCAGTGTCGTGGAGGTCCTCTGGGCCTGAGAGAAATTACCAGCCTGGAACATATCCCTATCCCTATGCTGGGCATCTCCTCGTCACGATGCCAACCTTAGGGATTCCCTTGTTTTTTGAGGGCGAATCCCTAAGATTGACATCGCCTTTTGGCGTGCCAATCTCAGGGATAGGGATACGTCCGAGGCTGGCAAGTTGAGGTCCTCTGGGCCTGCGAGAAACACGCTCGCGCACGCTCTGCGAGGGTGCGGGCCCCCTCTGGCCGCGCAGGGCGCCGGCCTCCGTACGGCGAGCGTGGGCCCTGCCCCCCGGGCCAGACGGGCCCCCTTTTCTAAGCAGTGGCGAGGCTTCCCGGCCTGCCTGCAGCCATGCCCACCAAGTCATGTCTTTCGGGGGCGGAAAGGAGGGGGGTGATGACTAGGGGGAGGGTGGATATCATGGCGGGGGCCAGGAAATCTCCCCAGGTTTCATGGCGCCTCTTCCTTGTTTCATGACGTCCCTGGCCCCCCCGCTGGGCCGCGCACATGCCGCCGGCCATGATTTGCACCCCCCCCTCTTGGACGCCCCCCTCGATCTTGGCCGCCCCCGAAATGTCTTCAGTATCGAAGAAAAAACAACCATTAACATAAACTGTCCGTGCTCCGCGCGGATTTCTTGGATCCGCGCTGGCCCCCCCGGCGGCGCCTCCGGCGCCGCCCCTGGCGCGCTCCGCGCGCCAGGGAGAGGGGTCCAGCGCGGATCCAAGAAAAGTCGCACGGAGCGCCACGCGTATATGCTTATGTTTTTCCTTCTGCTTCCTCAAAAGAAACCTTTAAGAACATTCTTGTGGTTTGCAGGAAATGCTCGAAGGACAGCCCTGGCCCAGACCGTCTTCTTTGACCGCTCGGCCTATAATATCAGGTCTTTCTTGTAGTGTGTGTAACAGTATGAAGAACATACAGTATTCTTTTCCTCTGTTGCAAGAAGATTAGATCATAGTATGCCTATAGGAATGCCGGGGCGGTCGGTCCCTACTCTAACCTTTGCCACTCAACGAGTTGTTGCGGTCTTGCGGAAAAGAGACACACCGCGGCGCGCATGCATTATCGGAAGCTCAGCGAGAGCATGAAGT